GGAAGAGATCGTCCCACAGGCTATGCCACCCCAGGACCAAAGCTGTCCCCTAATTGGTCCCTTCAAGTCAAGGCCAGTTTCACTGTTTGAGCACCTACTCTGTAAGAGGAGGGGCACGGTGCTCCCAGAGATGCTCCTGGCCTGGGGATACTAGGAAAGCCAGCAGGTGAGTCAGGTGTTTAAAGTGGGGCAGAGATACGTCATGGGCCCCGGAGGAAGCAGGGGGGTCGGGGGCCGGGCAGGCCTTGCAGGGAGGCATTTGTGCCAACCCGTGAAGAATGAGCTGGACTTCAGCAGGCAGGCCCGTGAGCCTCCTGCCATGCTTCCTGATTAAGCAAAAGACTGCAGGTGGGGACTGGGGCAGAGCCGGAGTGAGCCCGGAGCCTTTGATGTGAGTGCAGAGGTGGACACCCAAGAGGCGGCCGAGAGAGTGAGGACAGGCCCGACCGGGGCCAGCATGTGTTCTGTGTGGGTCCAGAGCAGGTCGAGGGGGGAGGTGGCTCTGAGAGCCAGGGACCTATGAACGCCTGCTGGGAAGTGTCAACGTTGCCATGCAGAGCTGCCACCGCAGGGGCCCTGCTGGCCAAGGGTCAGCTGGATGGTGCCTTCCTGGCTTTGCCATCCCTGCCACCCAGTCCTGAAAGCCACCCACTAAAATGAAGCAGAGCTTGGAGGGCGTCCTCCTGCACCTTGGCCCAACAGACTGGGTGAGTCCTGGTGGAAAAGCTGGCTCCCTCTGCTTGGTCCAGCTGTGCCTCAGTTTCCTGATTGGAACTGCCTGGACTGGAGCCTGCCCTGCTGGGGCCCTTACCATGCCCACTTCTGCCATTCTTTTCCTGCACCAGGCTGACCCCTGTCCCTAGCACTTGTGCCGACCAGACTCAGGCTCCAAAACAAATGGGTCAGCAGCCTCTGGCCAGGCAGGGAAGGGAAACATCCACCCTGGGATGGGCCCATCTGTGTGCCTTGAGACCAGGGAGAGCAGAGCTGGTCCCCGTTTGGGAGTGGCTGCCAGCCAAGTCCCACGTACCCTGGGTCTGCCAGCAGCATCAGGTGGGACCTGCTGGTCTCCAGGAGACAACAGGGTCCTAAGGTCAATTCCATGGAGGGTGCAGCTCGGGGCTGGGTGGACGCTGGGAAGGTGCCTGTGGGAGGGCAGTGTCCGGCTGCATCAGGAAACGAGGTGCTGGAGGTGCAGGGAAGTCCAGACCCGAGAGCCAGGCCCGGTTGGCTGCCCCTGGAAAGCAGCTCTTGAAGCTGGGGGTGGAGATGACTGTGTGGAGTGAGGATGCTCTAAAACCTACAGACCCCTCAACAGAATAGCCTTTAGCCTCTATCGTGGCCTCATGGGCTTTGGCCCAAGCAAGGCTGCAGCACTATTTCCAGGGACAAGTGTCCCGGACTCTGTGTGGGGAGCCACCCAGGAGACTCTAGGACAGGTGAGACTTGTATGCCACGGCCAGCTCTGCCCCTTACCAGCTGCAGACCCTCTTGGCAGTTCGAGCCGTTCCAATGCCATACCTCCTCTCCCCACATGTGCAAACCCACCCCCCATCCGCTGTCTGCAGGTGGTCAACACCCTACCCACCCTGAAGATGATTCTAGGGTAGGGGACAGCCAGGGAGCCTCCTGGAGCGTCCTCCTGCTGGTCCCAGGCATCACTGTGACTGCCCAGCAAGGGGAGGAGCAAGACTCCTTCCCAAGGGTGGCAGAAAGCACGGCGGTAAAGATGATTCGGGAATTGGCCTCCCAGTGGGCTCCGATGTGTAAATGAAGGCCAGACTTGGTCCTGTGAGGAGTGTGGAGTCGGGTGCAGGAACACAAGCGGGGATTAGCCCAGTAAGCGTCCACCCTGGCGGCTGCCCTCAGCCCCAGGACCAACTTCCCATGTCTCCTGGTGGCACTGTGGACCCAGCTCCAGCTGTGTGGCACCGAGGACAGGGAGGTGCAAGTCAACAGCTGGGTCCTGACGTGACTCTGGTTGGCCTGCCAGGCCCCTGGTGAGTAGACTCACAGCCCAGCAAAGCAGGACTTTTTTGGGGGGGGAGACAAAAATCTCATTACCAGAGAATAGAAGTGCCGTGGTGTCAGCCTAGCTCACAGCAACCTCAAACTCCTGGGCTCAAGTGATCCTCCTGCCTCAGCCTCCCAAGTAGCTGGGACTACAGGCATGGGTCTCCCATGCCCGGCTAATTTTCTCTAAATATTTTTAGTTGGCCAATTAATCTCTATTTTTTTTAGCAGAGACGGGGGTCTCACTCTTGCTCAGGCTGGTTTCGAACTCTCAACCTTGATTGATCCACCTGCTTCAGCCTCCCAGAGTGCTAGGATTACAGGCGTGAGCCACCGCAGCCCAGCCAGGACTTCTTCGAACTCAGCCGACACTCTCCCTCCAGCCAGCACCCAGTGGTGAGGGGCACGAGGGGGAGAGGCAGAAAGCAGGACAGCACGCTTGGCCTCAGAGCAATCTTTGCTGTTTTTTGTACATTAAAAGTTGAGGGGGCCGGGCGTGGTGGCTCACTTCTGTAATCCCAGCACTCTGAGAGTGCCAAGGTGGGAGGATTGCCTGAGCTCAGGAGTTTGAGACCAGCCTGAGCAAGAGTAAGACCCGTCTCTACCAAAAATAGAAATATTAGGTGGGCATCGTGATGCGCACCTGTAGTCCCAGAAGGCTGAGGCAGGAGGGTCACTTGAGCCCAGGAGTTGGAGGCTGCAGTGAGCATTATGACCCACCCAGGTGACAGAGCAAGGCCCTGTCTCAAAAAAAATGGCCAAGTGTGGTGGTCATGCCTGTAATCCTAGCACTCTGGGAGCGAGGCGGTGGATGCTTGAGGTCAGGAGTTCGAAACCAGCCTGAGACCCCCGTCTCTACTAAAAATAGAAAGAATAATAATGACCATCTAAAATATATAATACAAAAATTAGCTGGGCAAGGTGGTGCATGCCTGTAGTCCCAGCTACTCGGGAGGCTGAGGCAGGAGGATCGCTTGAGCCCAGGAGTTTGAGGTTGCTGTGAGCTAGGCTGATGCCACGGCACTCACTCTAGCCTGGGCATCAAAGTTAGACTCTGTCTCAAAAAAAAAAAAGTTGAGGACTTTAGAAGTCATGGGACCAGCGTATTAAGCTCCTCTATTCTGTGAGGCTCCGCTACACCCAGTGCAGGGATGGGGGAGATAGAGATCTCTCTCTCGCTATCTAGTCCTGCCAGGAGCCCAGAACGGCCAGAACCACACACAGCCCTCCTGAGCACACGGGACACGTGCTGTGGGACTCAGAAGTGACTGGCAGGGGCTGGCAAGGGACCCTCTGATGCCTTTGCCCCGGGGCCTTTGGGGCTGGCCTCTGTCGTGTCTTGGTCGTTCGTGCACAGGCGCTGAATCCCGTGAGGACCCTCGGCCTGTCCCTGCCTCTCCATCTGTCACCTCACCAGCCTGGCGGGTGGGCCACCCTTCCTGGCTCTACACCTGGGAAGGGAAGAGGGGTGAGTAGGAAGTCCGGAAACTGCAAGTGGAAAGTGGACGGCTCCAGGCTCTCTCCTCTCCCCGGGAGTTGTCCACCGCAGCGAGGGCCCGCGCGGACGGCGCAGAGGCAGACGTGGGCCCGGAGCCGCGCTCCAGATGCGGAAGAAACAGGACCGGAACGGTGCGTTCGCGCCGCCCCCCGCCGCCCCGGCGAGCTCTCGTGCGGGCCGCGGCAGAGGGCGCGCCACGAGGCCCGCGGCGCCCTGGGAGACCGGGCGCTAAGCGGGACTCGGCGCTGCAGCCTCGAACGCCCGCGGCCCGCGGGACCCCCGCGCCCGGGCCCCTAGGCCTTGGTCGTGGCCTTTGGACGGCGAGGACCCCGCGCCCTCGTGGCCCGGGCGCTGCGTCCTCGGGCCAGGCCCGCGAGAGCCCACCCGGGCGCGGGGCGCGTCGCCAGGGGAGACGGCGCCGGGACGCGCAGGCGCAGTACGACGCGCTCGCCCCGCCCCCGGCCGCCGCCGCCGCCGCCCCGCCTTCCCCTTTAAGCGCCCGCCGGCCGCGTCGCCGCTTCATGAATGGAGCCCACGTGACCAAACATCATGTGACGTCTGTGGAGCGGCGGCGGCGGCGGCGGATCCCGAGCCTGGTCCGGCCCGGCCTTCCCAGCGCGCTCGGCCCGGCCCGCCAGGCGGCCAGCCCCCCGAAGCCCCGGGCCCGGACCCCTCGCGCCGGCCCCCGCCCCGCGCGGCCTCGGAGCGCGCGGCCTCGTCCCGCCGACCTCGGCCGGCCGGGCCCGCAGTGTGGTAAGTGCGGGCGGGGGGCGGCGGGCCGAGGGGCGGGGGCCGGGCTCCTCCCGCGGCGCCGAGGGCGGCGGGGTCCTGGCTCTGGGTCCGCGCGCACCTGCCGGCGGCCGGTGCCTCGCTTTCCCCGCCGGCCGGGAGCCAGCTCCGGCCCTGCCGCCTGGGTGCAGGGGTGGGCCGCGGGCGGCGGCGGCGCGCGGGCCGGGCGTGTGCGGAGCCGACTCGCGGAGGCCCGGGCGTCCTGGGGGAGGGGCGGCCGGGGCGGCGGGAGGAAAGGGTGGGGTCGAGCGGGGCGCCCCGGGGTCCGCGCGGGGGCCGGGCCCGGCGCCGCGGATTCCTCAGGTGGCCGCGTCGGCGCTGCCCGCGCGCTGGGGTCCTTGGCGCGGCCGAGGAGGGGGCAGGCGGCGCGCGGGGGGCGGCCGGGAAGACCCCGCTCGCGCCGGCTCGGCCGGGCCACTCGCGTGCCAGGGCCCCGGGGAGACTTGCTGAGTCATCAGCATGAGGTCACTCGATGCTCGAGCTGGTGCCGGGGGGGAAAGGCGCGAGGGCCTGGGGGACTGAAGGGCCGGCGGGCGGGCGCGCGCGCGCGCGTGGGGCTGTGGCGGAGGGGCAGGGCCCCGGGCCCGGGGCGCCAGTGCAAGTTTGGGCCGCGCGCGCCACTTGAGCCAGAGTGCGGCAGGAGGAAGTGGAGGGGGCTCGTGGCGGGTTTTCTCCCGGGGCCGAAGGTGAAGCATGTCTGCGCCCTCCCAGGCAGCTGGTCCCGGTCGCGGTCTGGGGCGGTTTCCCAAACTGGGAAATAGTTCCCTGAGTGAAAGGAGGGGAGGAGCTTAGGTGGGCCGTGCTGGCCGGGCGGGGAAGTAGGCTTTCCCTGAGACGGGCCTGGCTGGGCCGGCCAGGCAAGGAGGCAGTGGGGGAAAGTCCTGCTGGGTGACAGTGGGCAGGGCGAGGCGGAAGCAGCGGGACTTAGCAGGGAGAATCACTTCTTGGCCTGTTGGCTAAGGTCAAGTGTAGAGAGCAGGGGAGCAGCCCTCCCTCTCTGCCCAGCTGCCTTGGTCTCTGGGTTGAGGCTGCAGGTGGTGGGAGCTTTGAGGGTGCAGCCGATGGGCTGGTGTGGACGACACCGGGTGGCAGAATGCAGCTCCCAGTCATCCCCAAATTGTCCCCACCTGAGGTGGTGTCTTTTTGCGAAGTTAGCTAAGAGAGTGTCATTCTGCTGGGTGTCTGGCCCAGGACTCTAAGGAAATGACAACCTGAAGATGGTGTGGCCAGAGCCACCTTCCTGGGGCATATGGGTGATTCCTGGGAGGGGTTTGTAACTAGGTTAGGCTGACCCTGTGGTTTGCCCTCAGGATGGCTCCCCCAGCTCGCACGCTCTCACTAGCCCCTGGGCTTGTAGATGCCAGATGTTTTAGCACTTCAGCTGACCTCTGGGCTGGAATTTTATGCCCTTGGAATATGCAGTGTCCTGGGGAGGTGTTTCCTTAAGCCTTCTCAGTCATTTAGGCCTCAGTGGAAATGAAGTTTTAGATTCTTTTCAAAGAGTGACTTTTGGTATCTGAAGGCTCCTGGAGGAGGTGGGTGTGGAGGGCAGGCAAGAGTGAGACCCACCTGCCCCCGGCAGGGTGCCAGAGTGTCAAAGCCACACCTAGCCTGGAGTCTGGCTGCTGGGGTCTGCAGACCAGGACAAAGGAGCAAAGCAGGCAGGCAGGCTGGCCTCCTGCCTAGTGTCCATGCCCCAGCACAAGGGGATGGAGCTGCCCAAATCTCCTTCCCTTCCTTCTCTAAGCCCGAGTGCCTCCTCCATGAGGTGGGCTCTGCCTCGGGGGTAGAAGAGGGTGAAGAATGACAGGGCCCCGGCCCTCAGTACCAGGAGGTGGGCTGAGGTGGGAGGCCACCTTCTTGATGCAGCTTGTGGGATCCCCTTCCTTTGACTTCAGGAGGTGCCCTGGGCTTCCCTCCCAGCCATCCTCGTCTCTGCCTGGGCAGTGTGAATCCCTGGGTTGCAGAGGCCAGGCCAGGAGGCTGGAGGCCCTGGCTTGCTTAGCCATACCCCTCCCCCACCACACACCCACGCACACACACCTTTGATTAGGAGGCGACTGGCTGCACTTGTGCTGAGTTCAGGCCTTCTGCGCAGGGCGAAATCTGTCGAGGAGGCACTTTTCAGCTCCCAGCCGCCTCACTCGGCACTTTTCTGTGTGATCTCTTCAGGAAGTCACCATTATATCATTGTGCATAGCAGTTGGGTGGGGGGATTATGGAGGGGAGGGAGCCAGAGCCAGAGGAGGTCCCTCCACCCAGCCTTGTTGTGCTCAAGGCTGGGGAGCCCCTCGGCGGTTGGCTTTGAGGGCTGGCTCTTGCAGCAGGCATGGGGCCAGCTTGCAGGAAAGACACCTCCAGAGGACCTTCTCACCTCCAGCTTGGGTCTTCCTCTTCCTTTGATCTGGAAGAATCTGGTGGCTGGAGCCTTGGGGTATTGTGTCTGAGGCTCCTGGTGGTCTGGCAGTGGGGAGATGTCTCTGGCTTCCTTCCCTACTCTTTGCCCATAGCCCACCTCCTGGTACAAGGCTGGGTGAGGTGGAGTCTCTACCTGGTGGGAACATAGGCTTCCACCTGGCCAGCCCACACTTCAGCGCAGCTGATGAGGGACAACCCTCCACCCTAGGCCAGAATTGCTTGAAGTCCTCAGCTCCTCAGGAGGGGACTGCAGTGTGTCTTGTCTTCCAGCCACTTTCCTGCCTGCCTCTAACCTGGAAAGGAGGGGAGGAGTCTTTGCCCTATGGTCTAGTGGGGACTGGACTGAGCCTATAGACCCAGATGGGTTTCTGGGAGGAGGTGTCCTTACAGGGCTTCAGAAAGCAGAATGTGAGGTTGGGGGCTGGAGGGGTAACTGAGCGGGTGGCAGTTGGCTGGCTGGGCTGGCCTCCCAGCCCTTTTGTTTTTGTTCCTTGGCCCTGTGGGCACGGAGCTGGACAGGGCCAGAGCACAGTCAGTGACCAGAGGGGCTGACCACCCCTGCCTCCAGCTGAGCAGGCCCAGGGGCTAGTTGTGGGCCCTTGTGAAACACCCTGGGAGGGGTGGGGCAGGGTGCAAGATGCTGCAACCCAGTGTGGCAGGATGGTTACTCCATCAGTGGAGGAGGTGGACAGAGAGGGCTGGAGGGGCCTCGGGCCAGACTCCTCCTAGCTGGATTGCCTGCTACTTCCAAGGTGGGGAACTCCCCGGCCAATCCTGCCAACAGAGCCAAAGCTAGCGGGGCAACCCACTCCCCGCTCTTCAAAGTTAGCAGAACTGCCACCTCACATCTTCCTCTTTGGCTGAGTCCCTGGTGGGGACAGTCCCCCTGAGACTCTGAGGGAGTGGGGGCTTTGTCCCAGGCTGGCTTAGGGGAGGCAGCTAAAGGAGGTAGGATGCTGGAATATGCGTGCACAGGGTCCCTGCTGTTGGCCAGCCTGTAGGGCTTGGCCCTCCTGGGGTGCTGTTGGCTGGCGGGCTGGGAGTGCCAGTGCCCGGTGAGGGAGGTGGCGCTGTGCTGAGTCAGCGTGACTCGCCAGGAACAGCCGTGCTCTGGGGCAGCACTGGGGTTATTTTTAAAGCTCCCGGCTTCCTTCTAGGCTTGCCCCTCCCGCATCTCATTCCTCCTAATCTCTCCCCCAGCCCCTTTGTCTTGTTCTGCCTCCCTTCCAGCCTTCAGTTCCCCTTCCCCCATCTGGCCTTCCTGACGTCCCACCTGGTTCCCTAGTGGCAGAGTGGGCAGGGAGAAACTCAGCTTGGGAGAGGCAAGGCCAAGGGCTGTCCTCCGGTCAGGTATTAGGGGCTGGGCACCTGGGCAGCAGGCTCCTGCGGGTGTGTGTGTGTGTGAACTGGGGTGGTCTCTGGGGTCCTGACCTTTGCTCTGTGTCTTGCAGGAGTGCCTGCTTGCTGTGCCCCCGGGTTATGACGACCCCCAATAAAGGAAACAAGGCCTTGAAGGTGAGCAGCAGGGAAGGGTGTCCTGGGCTCAGTGGCATGGGGAGGCGTCCCTGCTTGGCCGTGACCTGTGTGCTTTGCTACCCCTAGGTGAAGCGGGAGCCGGGTGAGAATGGCACCAGCCTGACGGACGAGGAGCTGGTGACCATGTCGGTGCGGGAGCTGAACCAGCACCTGCGGGGCCTGTCCAAGGAGGAGATCATCCAACTGAAGCAGCGCAGGCGCACGCTCAAGAACCGCGGCTACGCCGCCAGCTGCCGTGTGAAGCGGGTGACCCAGAAGGAGGAGCTGGAGAAGCAGAAGGCGGAGCTGCAGCAGGAGGTGGAGAAGCTGGCCTCCGAGAACGCCAGCATGAAGCTGGAGCTCGACGCCCTGCGCTCCAAGTACGAGGCCCTGCAGAACTTCGCCAGGACCGTGGCCCGCAGCCCTGTGGCACCGGCCCGGGGCCCCCTTGCTGCTGGCCTGGGGCCCCTTGTCCCTGGCAAGGTGGCCGCCACCAGTGTCATCACAATAGTAAAGTCCAAGACGGACGCCCGGTCGTAGGGATGCGCGGCGTGTTTGCCCAGGCGGGTCTTCGAGGGGCCACTAGGCGCATGGTGAATTCGGCAGCCCCATCTCTCTTTCCCTTCACTTCTCTTCTCTTTCCTTCCCTTCTCCCCTCCCACCCTCGCCCTTCCCCCTCCTTCATTCCCTGCAAAGCACAACCTGCACCCCAGGGGCACTGGGCTGAGCCCCTTTGATCTAGTTGTCGTCATGTGTTTTGTACGTTGGGATTGGTCAGTTTGGCGGTGACGTGGGGTCGCCCCTAACCCCTTTGTACCAAGGCCATGCAGGCTTGGAGCCCAGAGTGGCACTGTGAGAATGGAGGAGCAAGTGCTCGCACAACTGAGCAAGCCCCCGGCCTTTCGTGTCCCTGAGTGGGGAGGGCTCCTGTCTGCCCTCCACGCTCGGGTGGCTGCTGGGCTGAGAGGGGGCAGGCAGCTCAGCCCAGCCGAAAGAGATGGGCTCTGCTCTGAAGAGTAGGGTGTCTGTGAGTTCCCTGAGTGGGTGTGCCACCAGCCTGGGTGCAGCTGGTGCTGGGGGTGTGTGGGGCTCGGGGCCAGGGGCCACGGCACTTGAGCCTGACCCGTTGTGCTGAACGAGACCAAATCACTGGTTGTGAGCTTACGTGAAGGGTGTGTCCCGTGTGTCCTGCGATGGGTCCCGTGTCACTGTTTACATGACCTATTTGTGTGGTTATATAGCCCTTTATTTAAAAGAGAGAAGTTCCTTTTACGAAGTTATTAAATTATATGTTTAAAAGCTAAAGGAAGAAAAGAGCTGCAGAGTATTTATAAAACTGTCTTTTAAAAAAAAAAAAAAAGAACAAGCAAGAAGAACATTTGACCATATAAATGGAAAAGGGAAGAAAGTATATTAGAAACTTTGCTAGTTTAAAAAAAGAAAAAAAAAACAAAAAAAATCCCTTTCTTGTAAACTTATGGACAACTCTTTGTGGCTGTTGGAGTTTAGTTTTTATATACACAGAGTTATCAAACGTTATTTATAAAACTTAGTTTAAAAAAAGACAAAAAAAAGCCAAGCCGTGAGCCGACCAGAGGCCGTCCTCTTTGATATCTTTTGCAATTGTACCGAAAGTGACTTACTCCTTCGCCCTTCCTGCTTCCGTCTCTTGCCGGTGCCGTGGTGTTGTCCGTGCCTGGTGAGGTTTTGTGCAGCCGTGAAGTGCTGGTGCTTCTGGTGACCTTTGACCTGTGAGTGTCACTTCTTGTGTCTGTTTTTCTGTGTTTGTTTTTTGGATTTAGTTGTATTTTTGCTTCTGCTGGCTTGCCAGACCCGGGCTGGGCTGGGGTGCCCGGCGCTGCCTGCTACGTGGGAGGTCGGGGAGCTGTGCCCCCAGCCCCAGGAAGTCAGACGTGGGGCTCTGCCCCTCCCACCTATGCTGAGCCTTGACGTAGTGTGTGTCTAGGGCTTGGGCTGGTCCAGTGGCAGAGAAGGTGAAATTAGGGGGCCACTTGGGGGCCCCCATGCTGCTTCCACACCCATCACCTCTGGCCTCGGGTGGTGGCGTTGCAGGGACCAAGGAGTCACTGTGGGTGCCCAGGGGGCCCTGGCCAAGCTTTCCCCGCCGTCTTCCTCTGGCCTCAGCTTTGTTCCCGTAGGCTTCATGTGGGGCCTCAGCCAAGGAACCCCAGGGGCCTGCTTATCCCTGAACTGTTTCCATGCTGCAAGGTGGTGCTTCCCAGGTAGAGTGGTGGGGGACTCCCCTGAGGCGGCCCCTTCTTCCTTGTCCCTGACTTGCTCTGAGGGCCTGGGGGCATCTTCACCAGTGCAGACAAGGGCTACGATCTCCAGGGCCCAGTCTTGGCCCCTTTCTCTACTTGTCCACGCTGGCAGCTCTTGGCTTTGGGCCCTTCTTCCACCTCCCTTTGGTATCTGTGTCTTCCAGGGATCAGCTGCTGGCTTTTGGAGGTACTTCTTTCTGGAGGCTGAGCCCACCTCTCTGTCCCAGAGCCTGCTGACCTTCCAGGCTCGGCTCAGGAAGCTCCTTGTAGGCGTGTGATGGGGAGGGGGTTGCCCACCTACCCGCAAGAGGCTACAGTTCTGTCTCTGGCCACGGGAGCCTTGGCCTTTTCAGCAGGGGTTGCTGGAGTCGTCTTTGGGGGCCATGGACCCCTGAAAAGCACAGAAGTGTGACCTGGTAAGACAAAAAACTGCGGCCTGAACAGGGTTTATCGTCATGGGCAGCAGGATTTTTATCTAAGAGTTTGACCCAGTGTGCCTGTGAAGTGGGCACCGGGCATGCCATTGACTCTTGTCATATGGATGGGCTTCGCTGCTACTGGTGTGCGGACACACTGCTGCTTGTACCTGGCTCAGCCTGCAGATGGAAATGCAGCTGTTGCCTCTGAGTCACTTAATGACTTCCCCTCCCTCCCCTCAATCTGGTTTTGTCTAACTGGAATCCAGGTGTGAGTTGCTGATGTTGGTTGCGGCATCAGTGAGTTGGAATCATCAGTGAAGAAAGGTCATGACCGGTGGTGGAGTGGGAAGGACAGGCCCTCCCTGTTCTTGTGTGGCCCCCACTTTTGTCCTGGCTCGGGGTTGTCATCCATTTCTGAGCACCTGTGCCAGGCTGCAGACCCAGAAAGCAGGAGGAGGAAGTAGGTGAGGAAGAAGAGGAGGGTTTGAGGATAGGTACAGAAGTTGCAGGTCCTTGGTTTGGTTTACAAAAGAAGCTTATGGACTTTAGGCCATGCTTCCTTTCAAGAGTTTTGGTTTTGGAGCAGCTGTTCTTTGGGTCTGGGGGAGTGTTCCTATTCCCTGTCCAGCCAGCCCTGCAGGGCCACTCCACCCCCTTCCCCTTGATTTCTTTAGAGTAGATCCTGTGTCCACATGTGATCGTTGTCTTTCTGATCTTTGTTAATTCCATTTTCCTACTGTACGGAAGTTGTGTTCTTCTTTCTTCTCAACTTTTCTGACACAGCGAATCGAGGGCTTTGGCCAAGGCCAGGTCTCTCAAAATTGTCCGCTAAGTAAACCATAATGCGTATCTTCCCTCCCACCTTGACTTTGCCACAACTCTCCCTTATCCCAACTTGGACACTCAGATTTCAGAGAAAAACCCAGCAGGAACAGGTCAGCTCTTCCTGGGGAGCATAGCCCCAGGGAGACCTCCCCATGGCTCCTGACTGCTACTCAGACAGCTCTGCTATTAGGGTGGGTGCTCCATGGTGGCTGTGTCCTGTGCTGAGGTTTCTGCCGGAGGGCAGGCCCCCTGTAGGCTTCTGCTCCTGCTGCACGCTTGGGGTCTGTGTGTGCACTTGACATTCAGCAGCAGCCTCAGTGGTGGTCAGTGCCTGGCCCCACGGCTCTGGTTGGCTGCAGCCTGATTGGGGACAATGATTAGGTCTCATTATGTTCCTGCCACCTCCATCTCTGGAGTGGCCACTTGGCCAAAGTTCCCATCCACATATGGGAAGCTGGAGCCACAGCCTACTGCACCGTTTCCGCTCTGGGATCTTGTGAGTTACTTTTTTAGGCTGTGGTTTGGTGAAAGGAACCAACACATTAACGATTTTTTTTCCCCAGAAGCCACTGAATAATTCTTTTTGGCATGTTTTTTGCCTTCCTGTTGAGCAGAGGCCATAATCAGTGCCACACAGTGGTAGGGGTGTACCCAGGAGACTCTGATGGCCTGTGCTGGCATGTGCTGTGCCTGCTGGCCAGTGGCACACATTTCCACCCCTCCCCTAGAGCAGCAGCTTTGATGCCGTGGGTGTCCCTTGAGTCTGATCTGGATGGAGTGTGAGAGAGCGTGTCCCCGATAAACTGTGAGACCTCCCTGTTTTCAGTGACCCCAGTTGGGCATTGGCCCCTTCAGCAACCTTGTGTCCCAGCCCCACCCTTATTCCCATCCCCTCAGTCTGCTAGTCCCTGAAGCCTTTAACCAAATGGGAGTGGTACAGAAAGCCTTCTCCTGGTATTTTAGGGCAACAGGACAAGGGCTACCCGTGTGTCCAGCTGCCCCGTGCTCTCCTGGCGCTGAGAGGTGGGTCCAAGCAGTTACCAGCCTCTGCCTGCCCTGCCTAGGGCTGGAGCCAGGGCAATTTGGTGTGCGTGGAGGACTCTGGGATCTGGTGGGGTCGGGTGGGCTGGGGTGGGATGGGGTAGTTAAAGATCAGAGGAGGGGATGCGAGGTGGGGCCGGAGGCCCCGCACCTGGTGTAGGGCGGTCAGGGGCCTGACCTGGGGCTGGGCGGTGGCCTCAGTGCCCTACCCCTGCCCTGCGCAGTATTTATTGCTAAATTATTGTCCAGGAGGGGCAGCACTGGGCCTGGCCCCCCGGGTATTTATTGCTGTACATAGTGTATGTTTGTGATATATAAGGTTTTCTTTATTTTGTATATGATCAATAAACACCTTTTAAAGAGACTGGCAGGTGCTTCTTTGGGCGGCGGGGCGGGGCGGGGCCGGCGCGCGCATGCGCCCGCGCGCGGCCTGCTGGGCGAGGCGGAAGCGGAAGCGCGGGTCTCCCCGGGGAGCGATGGCAGCCGGGGGTCTGAGCCGCTCGGAGCGCAAGGCGGCGGAGCGGGTCCGGAGGCTGCGGGAGGAGCAGCAGCGGGAGCGCCTCCGCCAGGTACGCCCCGCGCGGCCGCCCGCCCGCGACCCGCCGCCGCCGCCGCTCACCGCCCGCCCGCCCGCAGGTGTCGCGCATCCTGAGGAAGGCGGCGGCGGAGCGCAGCGCCGAGGAGGGCCGGCTGCTGGCCGAGAGCGAGGACCTGGTGACGGAGCTGCAGGGCCGGAGCCGGCGGCGCGAGGGCCTGAAGCGGCGGCTACAGGAGGCGAGTCCCGCGGGGCGCGGCTGGGCGCCCTGCGTCCGGGGTGGGCGCCCGGCCGGAGGGGAGGTGACCAGCCCCGGCGTCTCGGCAGGTGTGCGACGACCCCGAGGAGCTGCGCAGGAAAGTCCGGGAGCTGGCCGGCGCCGTCCGCAACGCCAAATACCTGGTCGTCTACACTGGCGCGGGGATCAGCACGGTAGGGAGGGAGCCGTGGACGCCTGCCCGCACTCCCTCAAGTCCCGGGCGGGCCCGGACCGCCGGGCTGCCTGTCCAGGGGCGGGCGTGGGGCGCCCCCTTCTGGGGGACCGGCCCAGGACGGAGTACTGTGCCGGAGTTGGGTAACGAAGGAATCGCAAAAATCTTGCCTTTAGGTTTTTCCCTTTCTTAGAGAAACACGAAATGACTCAACTCAAAATTTAACTGATATAAACACTTTAGAAATGGCTGAGCTGTATATCACAGCGACTTAGAGGCAGAAAGAGAACAGGAATACAAATGAGATGTAGAAGGTGGCTGCCTGCAGGCTCCTCCTCACTCGAAATCGGGCCTGCCAGTCAATTGACCCCAGATTAGGTGGGCAGAACTCAGCCCAGAGCTGTCTACTGATTCCCCATTCATTGTGTTCTGTCCATTTGAAGGAAGATAAGAAGGAAGTGAGACTGTAGGAATCCGAATGCACCAGGTAAAGGAGAGAATTGCATCGTGTTTTTCCGTTTTATGTTTTGTTTTTTATAGAGACAGGGTCCCCATCTGTGGCCCAGGCTGGAGTGCAGTGACGCCATCATGGCTCACTGCAGCCTGGAACTCCTGGGCTCACGTGATCTATCCTCCTGGCTCAGCCTCCCTGCATTATTTTGACACGTTTCACTGGGAAAGTATCCTGGGCTGTGGGACATCAGTGTCTTTGAGAGTGGGACTGGCACACTGTCCATCTAATCTGATGGGCAAGTGTGGAGTCTTAGGCATGTGTAGGCCCAGCAGAGCAGAACACCAGCAGAGCTGAACACCAAGTGATCTCCGTATTCAGGAAACCCTTAGGTGACGGTAATCAGGCATGTGAGCAAATACCCACGTAAGGCTGACTATACTGGGG